TCAACCAAGCAGATCCTTGAAAAGGCCAAATTCTGTTCTTCTGAAGTCCATTAAAATTGTGTGCCTTCCTCACCACCCACAGATCTTGACTTCCACCATCCCAGGTACGTTTAATTAGTAATTATTAGGAAGGAATTGTTCACTGTGAGGATGGGGAATGTACCCAGAGAAGCTGTGGCTGCTCCTGGATCCCTGGAAGTGGGAGGGCCAAGTTGGACATTGGGGCTGGGAGCACCTTGGGATAGTTCCCTGCCATGGAAGGGGGTTGGATTGGCTAATATTCAAATTTTCTCCCAACCCAACCCAACCCATGACAATAAAATAAAATCTCATTGTGTCTGAAATATCAGACATGACTTATTTCATGGTGATGTAGAGTATTGACACTGGTGTTAATCCTTTGAACTCATTAGCAAGAGATATGTGAGTGTGGATATTGATAATAATTGCTATTCTGAAGGGRTTTACTCAATATTTTCTCTCGTTTTCTTCATTAGAAGTCCTGGGGATAAATGCTATGAAAAGTGTGAAAAAAACCTGCTTTTCAGTTCTTCAGTAAAAGTCTCCATGTTTCATGTAACAGTTGCAAATTGTAACTAAATTCTGAAAGGTTCAAGATGCAGAAATGTATGACTGAATTCTGATATTCAGCCATTATTCTCCAAAAGTGCTTCTCTTGTGTGCAAAATTCTCATTTTTATGACCAATAGAGATATACAATAGGGAAAAATTGCAATTTTGTGATTTTCTGCTGAAAGGCAATGTGGTGTATTGAATGTTGAGTGATGAGACTCCATGTTGGACAGACACTGCCACCAGTGCCTGCTTGGTGATTGTTTTTATCTCTAAAATATGATTTTTTGTGAAAGGACACAAGTTGAAACCATTCTAAAACAAAAGCAGATTTGTTTATGGGCTCATTCAAGTTGTAAACCACTGCAGCATCATCTCTCTTAAGTAAACAAATTTTTTAATATAATTTAGTTGTTTAAATTTGAGGGCAAATGGCCTTTCCATGTGCTAATTTAACCTCTAAGCTTCTTTAGAAATTGAAATTGTAGGTTTAACTAATGTAAGAAATTCTGGGGAGCAGGCTACACAGCAAATAAAAAAGGGGCAAGGGTGTGAGCAAGGTGTGGGATGTCACAACAGGTCTGGGTTGCAGCCACTCCTTATCTTTTCAGAAATTAATTTACCTGTGCAGGAGAGGAGAAGAACTGATAAACACCCCAAGAAATTTGACTTACAGGAAATGAAATTGTCATTTTACGTTTCTGGTGCTCGTTCAGAGAGCAGCAGGCTAGGAAAAAAAAATGTATTTTTAGACTTGTTCAAAACCTTCAGGTTTTTTTTTTTTTTTTTTTTTTTTTTTTTTTTCTTTTTTTTTTTTTTTTTTTTTTTTTTTTTTTTTTTTTTTTTTTTTTTTCTTTTTTTTATATCTGGAAGAACAAAGGGAACACATTGAGGGGAGCACAGCACCACCTCTGATTCTTGCAGAAACAAACTTACCTCCCACAAAGACCCTGTGGATGGAGCCAGGAAAACGCCACGCGGTATCTCAACTCCGCATTTACCGCCAGCRAGGCCAAGATAAGTTTGTATCCCCTTCAAGGAGCTTAAGAAGGGAAACAGCCTCATTTTTCAAAAGTTTTATTGTTAAGTTTGAAGACTAGACAAGGTCGTACTCGGTTTTACATCGCTCTACATGATTTAGRTATATACAAAAAAACCATTTGAATATCACACAGCTTGAAAGGTTGCAAAGGTCGTTTGTGTCCGAGATAACTTCTGTACTTACTGACACATCAGAAGCCAGCACTGAATATTATAGTTCACATTTGTTTGTATAGCAAAGATACACTCATTTAGTATCCTCCAGTCTTCAAAACYGACACTTAGTTTTGTATGCAGCCATTCCAAAAGAGAAAGTCAACCCCAGAACCGGAGCCAGCAGAGGAGAGGGGCCCTTAGCGCAGATAAAAAGGAACTTTATTTTCCAGGCTATAAACGTTACCCAAAGGTGAAGCCTGACTACAAATTCTTGACTGGCTCAGGGTGAAATTTAATTAGGAGGACGCTTTTGGTCTTGTTCAATGTCATTGGTAACAATTAATGCAGAAGTCAAGGATCGTTTCTGAGCTTTTCTCTGTCCTCCCTTAAAGGGATGTTCCCTACCCTGCATTTCTGGTTTTGTGGTGCTGGTTGGTTTCACTGGGAGAGGCCAGTTGTGTTATTTACCTCCTCTTATGGCAAAAATATTCACCCACACAACAACAACAACAAAAAATTAAGGGGGAAAAGGTTTAATTCTATAACTTAACCTAATTCTCATCAGCTTTGTTAAATCTGAAAGAATCCGTATCAACCAAGATATTTCAGAATGATACTGCAGCAGCAGAATTTGGTGATGGAAATGCCATTCCAATAAAAATTTTTGGTAGCTGAGGAATAATGCCACTGGACAACCCCTCAACACATAGGTTGAAATTGTAAGGGCATCATATATGTGTTTTTTTAATGAGCTATCATGTAGCATAATCACATATGTGATTTTTTAATGAATTATCATGTAGCCTAATCACATATGTGATTTAAAATCAATAAAACACAAGGTATGGAACTATCCTTGCAGGCTGTGAAGACTGCTGGCAGCTGGAAAAGCTGACAACAGGAGGATGAAAACACTAAATTAATACCAAATTAAGATTACTGCATTACATTACATTACATGAAAACTCTATATGAAGATGATGGGATAACAATCAAACTACTAAACCAAGAAAAGATTCCAAACCAAATTCCAAACCCAAACTGGAGTTGCAAAATATAACTAACATGAAAAAAAAAAAAACCCCCAAAAATCTTTGAGAGCACAAAACAAATATTTCAAAAGAACATTAACATGAGTTGTTAAACTACCAAGTCTAACTTACTGAAATGGCCTCCTGTTTTTTGGATACACTCTGTGAAATAACTACATTCTGTCCTTCATATCTGTAATTAAATTCAGGGTCAACTGCTCTCCCATAACAGGAAAATGCATTTAAACCAAAAGATAAATATTACTATTTTTTTCTTTTTGTTTGTGGGTTGGTTTTTTTTCTATTTTTTTTTTTTTTTTTTAACCTAAAGCCTAAATTTCAAAATACAGGCAGTAGATAATATGGGGATAAACTCATCCTCCATTATTCAGATTTTTTTTTTCTCGTTGGAAGTACCACCCAAGTGATTGACTTTCTCTTTAAAATCGCTCCTTCTGCTTGAAGACCACTCCATATATACATCATTAAGGAATGCTGTTAACACAGTTACAGACAAGACAGTAACAGTCTAGTGGCTTTTGTTATGCAGCACAAAGTAAAAAATAAAGAACAAACTTAGCAGTGTTGCACAGGACCTCAACATTTCTTACACATACTTTTTTTTTTTTTTTTTTACCTTTACAGCACTTTTCTTTAGAAGTCTTTAAATGTCTAAGCCTTATAAAATAAATACTTGTATAAATACAGTTTAAGGATTAAGTCATTTTGTAGAGGCAGGGTGTTCTGTTTGCTAAAATGTGACAGTTTAAGTGACACTATCAGAAAACCGCCACCATTATATCCCCAATTCTTGTATGTAAAATTCCTGGCTGCTATTCTAGAGTCTTTCACAGTTCAATGGATAATATATATTTAGTCTGTGGTGGAGAATGTGTGATTAAATGCAGGTTTTTTTTGTTGTTTTTTTCTTTTTTTTTGAAATCCAAACCGTTTCGTTTCCAAGGAAAACTTTGCCCTTTGCAGATTGTGAGCCTGGGAAGCGGTGCCCAAGTTCATGCTTCAGAGTTTTGGTGAGAATGTAACAGTGACAAAAAATTAAAGTTTGGTGATGTTTGCTAAAACATGCAGCTGCATCTCTCCCTCTCTCTCTCACATTCTCTCTTTCTCTCCACATCAGCATGTTATGAAATTAAAATGTTGGCAGTAATCCCAAGTGCTGTTTCTTCAGGTAACAGATAAAACCTCCTCTCCCTCCCTGTCCCAGGATCTTTTTTTTTTTTTAGGCTGAGGTGYTGCTCTAATGCAGTCACAGAGCGCTCTGCTCCGAGGAAACTTGGGCTGCTCCTCAGAGGTTGGCATGGTTATCTATATCAGAAGGGGGAAACTGAGGCACAGGGGTCAATTTTTCCCATACTGCTCCACTTCTTCTTCTAAAAACTACTTTTTGAACTGGGGCTGCTGTGTGAAGCATTTTTGTGGATGGGGCGTGGTAGGAAACGGCCTCCTCATGGCTCTCAGGTCTCAAAATAAATTTTAGGAGTAGAGGGTGATAAGGGCCAGACTTTGGTGCACTCCTTTCCTCCCTTTTCCTGGGAGGAAAGCTGTGACTTCTGCAAGCGCCTGAGGAGAAGGTTTCCTGGGACTCATTCCTCCAGTGTGTGTTTTAGCACCTGGGTCCTTCACYCCACATTTTCCTCCTCGCAGAATTTTGGGGTGGGAGGGGTTCTGCCTCCGATTTTGTGCTCCCCTTTGGACAAATCATCATGGAAATGGGATTTCTTGATGCACCTCTGGGGTGCCCAAGATAAGACACCACAAGGGTGACCCCGGTGTCTCACTTGGGTCTCCTTGAAAAAGCACATTTCGAGCTGAACTGACAAACTTTGGCAAATTTGTTAAATTTTTGAATTTAACATATGCTGATTTGGTTATGAATGCTGTGGTCCCATAGCAAATTTCTTAGGGGAAAAAAGAAAAAAAATTCTTTGCCACTCTTCATTTTGCTTTAACCTCAATCCACTAATGGAGTCAAGCAATTTGGAAAGAGTGGGGAGGACAAAGGACAAAACATGACTTAGTGGTACCAAAGAAAAAGTCATTTCTGTAGTTAGAAGAAATTTCTTTTTTACCTACTTGTCGCTTTATGCTCAAAGAGTCAATACTAAATAAACCACCAAAGCAATTTAAAACATCTTTCAAGGAGAATGACCCCAGCGGCGCAACGCTCAAGAGAAAAGAGAGATAAAGATAACGATAGAGGAGGAAAATGGGGAATTTGGGAACAACTCTGCAGGTGCACGGACTCTGCTGTCAGGGTGAAGTGGTGGAGGGAGCTTGTGACGCCCCCAAAAAGTGTGTGTGGTAAATACTGACAGTGTTTGATAGGCACAATTACTGTAACRCGGTAATCCCCAAGTAAACTTATTGCTAAAAGCTGCAGTATCACTTTTTGCAAGAAAGATGACGGTATGATTTATGGAGAACTCGTCAGCCCAAYGCTCCTGAAGCTGCAAATGAGCTTCCTCAATGCTACTCCTCTCCCCTTGTAAAAAGGATGCTGCCGTTTGTTTGTTTTTCCCTTTTATTATTTTTTAATAATTTTTTTTTTCTCCCTTAACGCTTTCTGACCGGTGGCGAACAGCTCAGAGGAAAAACTTAGAGAGGGCAATTCCACAGCAGAAGGGACAACACCAACAAATCTCAAGGGCAAAAAAAAAAAAAAAAAAAAAAAAAAGAAAAATCGGATTGGATCATTTTTTTTAAAGGGCAGGCTTAGACCTCCTGGCGAAAGACAGCTAGCGGCCTACCATAAGAAATGAGCGAGCACTGGTTGGTGGAGGAAGCCCCAGAGGGCATCCCACGGGCTGGTCAAGCGGCGTGGGGCACACCAGGGGTCAGTCCTCGGCCGTGCAGCCCAGCAGCTCCGAGCGCAGCGTGATGCGGCCGTACCACGACCAGGGCAGGATGCGCACGTGCCGCGCCCGCACCGGCGGATCCAGGACGTTCTTGCGGTGAGTGTCGTTGTCAAAATTGCCCTGGAACACCTGCGGGGTGGAAAAGGAAAGAGTTGAGACCTGAGAATGTGGGCAGACTCAGGGGGTCCCTGGAAAATGGATAATTCCATCATTGGCCAACCAAATGTTGAAACAAAAATTTAAACAAAGAGGAAGTTTAGGTTGGGTATGGGGGATGAATCTTGGCTGTGGCTGCTCCTGGATCCCTGGAAATGTCCAAAGCCAGGCTGGACACTGGGACTTGGAGCATCCTGAAACAGTAGAAGGTGGAAATTGGATAATTTTTAAATTTTCTTCCAACCCAAACCCGTGATTCCACACCTTTGCCAAGACCTCACAATTTCATGGCAGGCAAGGACACGTTCAGCCCTTCTATTCAGACCTTAACCTGCTGTTCTGCCATTGCCACGCTCTGAAAGTTACACAAAAATCATTAACATTTAAAAAAAAAAATTAAATGTCTTTTTACTTGGCATTTGCGCCCCCTCAAATTAATCCCAGGAGATCCTGTTACTGTTTCCGAGGAAATAACATTAATAATTAAAGATAAGAATTTTTATTGTATCACTTATGGGCTGAAACTCTATAAGCACTTGTAAAGTCGGTRATTATCAAGGAAATTATCTTTTCATGTCAAAAAAAAAAAGTCAGCAGATGAATTAAGGGCATTGGATGATAAAAATAAAACATCCTAGCATGGTACAGTGCATGTGATGATCTTATTTTCACTTGCATCGCTTAACCAACACAAAAGYGAGTTCTCCAACTCATGTGTGTCATAAATCAGTGCCAGATTTTTCCCCTGCCAGCCACTACTGGAAATTCCAAGGCCACAGCACCAATTTTTGGCAAAATGGTCATATTATTCCCTTGGTTTTTATGGGAAATGTTCATTCTCCTAAAATGTCAGCCAATTCACTTCTCCTTTGTAAAAAAGTAAACCTGATGGGTTTTTTTGACTTGAAATGAACAAGAAATGTCGTTTGCATCAATCAGATAAGAATATGAACCTTCTGGAGATGTGCTTGTACGACTTAATTAATGCAGAATTACAAGTTCCTGGAAATTCTTGGGAAAAAAAAAATATCAGAGTTTGAAGTCCGAGGTGGCTGATTTAATATTTTAGCCTCGGATCTGGTTCTTTTGTGATATTTTACAAAAGCTTTCAGTCTCCATGCTGCACTTCTTTGAATTTTGGGAGCTTCTTCCCAATGTTGTGCTTTTACAACCTCAAACAAAATCTGTCCCGTTCCAAGTTGATGTTCCTTTACAAATGATGAATTCTTCATCACATCTGGACAGAGGTGGGAGCATTAAAGAATTGGGAAGATCCAATGGATGGATCAAGTGGCAGGGAAAATGACCATAGAAATATCAGTTTTGTAAGCCCAAGGAAAAGAAAAAAAAATTAAATTATTTACCACAGGGAGTTTTTTGTTCCCCAAGCACATGTCGATACATAAACCATCAGGAGCTTGGGCTAACAAGGTTTGCACCTCAAGTCCAGTTTAATTTGCAGCAAAAACAAGGAGTAAGCTCATTATTGAAATTACAATGACACCTCCCAAAACCCAAAAATGAGTGTAGGGAAGTTTAAATGTATTTTTTTTTTTAATTTGGTATCTTGTGCATACATGCAGGACATCTGTTGATTTTTTTTTTTTTAACCTGGCTAGGTGTTGAGTAATACAGAGCTACTGGAAAATGATTTTATTTGCTGTTTTATTTGTCCAATGGAAGAAGCATTTCCAAGATTACATTTAAATGAATGCTTAAAACAAGAAATGTTCACCAGAAGAACCTTTCTATAGCCCCAGTGTTCRTATCTGCATATAGATATGCAAAATAAATAAAATTATGTGATAGGARACCAACAACGAATACAGTTGAAGGAGAGAGGATTATGTCATTTACTTACAGCAGGAAAACAAAAATTAAATTTTGTTTTTTACTCATACATGATCTCATTACCTCTTGAAGTCAAACTCATCTGTTTCAGAGGTTAYTTTATGCAAATATGAAATACACCTCCCCTCAAAATTCAGAATCTAGTTTCAAAAAATTGACTAAATGTGCTAGATCAGAGAAAAAGATGTTAGGGAAATAAATGTATCAGAAAGCGAGGGAAGCTTTGCCAGCATCGACAATTGTGACCTGCATGAAATCTAACATTGTAACAGAAATTTAATGTTCTTTCTGCTATGGTCCCATAGCAAATTTCTTAGGGGAAAAAACCGTAATTCTTTGTCAATCTTCATTTTGCTTTAGCCTCAATCCACTGATAGAGTCAAGGAATTTGGAAAGAGAGGGGAGGACAAAGGACAAAACATGACTTAGTGGTAACAAAAAAAAAGTAATTTCTGTAGTTAGAAGTAACAAAAAAAATTAATTTCTGTAGTTAGAAGTATTTTTTTTACCTACTTGTTGCTTTATGCTCAAAGAGTCAATGCTAAATAAACCACCAAAGAAATAAAAAACCCTTGAAAATCTGGTGCCTGTCAGTGACCACACCTCATATATATTTGTTTCTGAACAGTTTTTTCAGTGCTGCAGTGATTTTTCAGTTTTTGAGAAGCCAATGTTGGAATTACCTTATATATTAGGAATATAATGTTCTACGTAAAAGAAAAAAAAAAAAATTCTCAGTGACAAAATCACGCCAGGGTGATTTGTGCTCAAGAAATAAAGACCAGAATGTAAGTTTTCAATTTGTCAATGCAAAAAAACCAAGGCACAGCTTCAGTTTGAGTGCTGGGTGGTCTGCTCCTGCAAATAGAGGGAAAAAAGCAGCAAGAATAATGGCTTTTTTTGGGAGTTATTAAACAGAAAAGTCTCTTCAGGGTGAGAGGACACTGTGGATGTCCATAAAACCCTAAGTGGCGTGGGGAAAATCGATATCAGGCAATATCACAGTGTCCCCTCGGCGGGGCAGGAGGGGAAGAGCCACCCAAAGGTCACAGCCACACTTCCAACATGAAATTAAACCGTGGCACAGCCTTTAACCACTGCTAAAGAGCAGATAAATTGTGAGARGGGGAAAAAAAGCAGCTGGGGTTATTAAGGACACGGACAGGAAAAAGAGTTTGAAAAGACAGAGCTAGGAAAGGGCACTGGGGAAAAATAACAACCTTGCTTTTCCAATTTTCTGGTCATCTSCTAGAGGATGCTCCTTCCTGTGGACAGAACTTCATCCTCCCCAAAAMCAGTTCCTGACACTTTACAAGGTGCCCTTTTTTTTTGGGTAGAAGTGGAGCAGAAAACTCCTGTTTTTTTGAGGGACCCTGTTGTGTAACACTGAAGATTTTTTATCTATTTATGTCAATCTGCAGACTCAGAAAAGGTAACTTGGTGGAATATTTACTCAGCAGCTCCAGCAATTTTACACAGCCATGTGTAGCCCCTGTGTAACTGCTGAAATAAAAAAAAAAAAAAAAAAAAAAAAAAAAAAAAAAAAAGCAAAAAATGCATGCTGCTCTGCTTTTAAATATATCTTAATTCATTATTATTTTATGGAAAAAAAAAAGGAGTGAAAGCTTGGTAAATAGGTACTGATACTCTCTGCTGAAAAGACTTCTGAAATGCAAACATTTTTTTGTTTACACTTGTGTGCAGCAAGCAATTTGAATGTCTTGACTTGAAGCATTCAGTGAGATTTTTTTGACATTAAAAAAAAAGTGTTTTACGACATTAGCAGAAAAATCCAAATAATGACAATAGAAGTTGATTAGAATTTTTAAAAGAAAATTGTTCTATGCTTTAAGATGGAATAGTTTAGGAGAAAWACCTCAAAATTAACAGCTTGGTGAAAGGAATGTTGTCTGCTGTGCCTCAACAGTATTTTTTTCACACTGAGCAGAATATTTAAAAAATGTTATTTCATGGAACAGCTAATCCTGCTCCTATTAGAGGAAGAATATTTTATAAAGAATATCTATTCATGGCTCCTATTTGGAGTTTGCTTCACTGCAGAACATCTCAAAATTCAGAAAAATAAATGTGGCACATGGGTGTGTTTGTGAACACGTGCACTTTTGGAGTGAGTAAGAGGAGGAGAAAAAAATTTTTTCTCTCTCAGTCACTGTAGATAAAGTGAATAAATATCACATCCATGAATATCTATTACCTGGCCTTTATTATTTCTTCAGGTTCAAAACAGATAGAACAAGATAAAATTTTAAACTTTATGATACTCTCAATTCTTGTCTTTCCCATCTGATCTACATGCTGATAGTGCTAAAATGTGAATTTAGTGCATGGTTTATAGGAGTTAAAAAAATATATTTTGAATAACAATCTTCTTCCAGAGATGCTTGTGGAAATTCAAGAGATATTTTTAATATTTTTYATTTGGTCCATTTTGTCTTCCCCAGCTTTTAGTGYGGGGTGAGGAAGAGAGATGTKTGTGCATAATTATGTGTGAGCATARTTAGATCTTYATCTGGCAAAAATCATGACAATTCAGCTGAAAGTAGCAGAAATCACTCATAACTTAAACCAGTGCTGACAAAAATGAAAAAGTCGCGTAGATTCAGAAGTGACAACTATTATTACAATTCACTGCATTCAAAGGGAACAATGTAAGTAATATTGCTCCAAAAAAAGTTCATTACCTGTGTCAAGTATGTAGTTTATATGTAGGAATTGCTTCAATGTGAACCAGATGTTATAATAATTATATAAAGAAAAAACATTCAGAAAAACTATTAGCAAATCTAGCAGAAAGGTTTTTAACTTGATATATCTTTTTTTTTTTTTTTTTTAATAAGTAGGTTACCATGTCCTTTCACACTGGCAGAAGACTGGACATCCAAAAGCACATAAATCCCAACCAGTCCATCATTTTGAGCACAAACCCAGTGCCCATTTGCATACTGGATATTTTCTACCTGCAGTTAATTGCACTGCTGATGGTGACTGGCAGCGCTGCAGACTGCCAGGCTCCTTCAGGCTGCTTTCAAATGTTCTCATCTTCCCGTAAAAAAATGCCATTTGACACTGCAGCTGGCCTTGAGTTACCTACAGCAGGCTGTGCAATTTATAAATCACATGTGGAATGTGATTAAAAAAAAAAAGGTAAAAAAAAAAAGGTCAGATTTGGTTTGGACGTCCTCAGCTTTGGAGGCACAGTGAGCTACTGACCTCTAGTTGAGAAAAACAAGATAGCTATTAGCCCTGGTCCTGTTTCTAAAATATATTTTCTTCCTACCTGCCACCCAGCAATATAATTTATTTTGCTTCTGGGAGGCAACAGGCAAAGCTTTAATACTTTTTTTTTTTTTTTYCAGGCAACTCATTCAAACTATTTAAAATGAATGAGAAAGGCTCCATTCTCTAAAGACATACTTTTTAATTTTTTTTTTAATTTTTTTTTCACCCCCAGTAACTTTTTCTCTGCACTCACAGGAATTCAGCACAGATGTTAAATGAAATTAGTGGCCATTAAAACAGCAGAAGCCAAGCAGACACAGCTCTTGGGAYAGATTTTCCATTTGAAATGGTTCAAAGAAGAAAACCGAACATCCTGTACCCTCCTCCTCTGTTAAGAACAGTGTGCAAGATGCAATATTTTGTGAATTTACACAAATATGTAAATAAAATACAATGTGTACAACGTAAYGCAGGAGCCCAGTGATTTTTCTCTTTTGTAAATGAACTCAAAACTGTGAACAGATCAACAGTGAGAATGCTAAGCACCAGATAGGATAAAATTCTCATCTCTTGCCTAAATGTTTAATAAAATCACAATATTCACCCACAAATTATAATTACCAATGGCTCTATAATTTTTTTATCTGTGACTTTAAAAGTTTGGTTTTTGTTTTTTTTTTTTTTTTTCATACTGTCTTCCTTTCCCTGAAATGTTTTCCAACCACCTTTCTCCTAAAATTTTGATGATTAAACATGGATCACAAGGTGAGCATAGGGTGACAAAATTGCATTTAGAAGAAATACGAAATCCATGTGTTCTATCCTTCATAGAATAAATCAAGATGTTCAGTTAATAAATAAATAACTAATTAGGATAAAATATAAATAATTTTTGCCTGCTGCTGTTAGTTGTTGGTATCTACCTTTAATGTCCTTTTCATATTTCCTGGTCATAAATATAACATTACACAGAAAATTCACGTTTTTTGTGAAAACTTGCTTTCTTTCACAGTGTTTTTGCATTTGGGAACAAATCCTATATCTCACATTAAGCTAAAGGAATTTTAGTGGATCCTGGGCAAAAGGGGTAATATCAGAGAGGACCAATGATGCTATTGCTCTCCTGATTTGATCTCCTACAGCATTGATTTTTCTCCTCCTGATTTTGTTTTTATTTACTTTTCTGTCCCACTGCACACAGGCCAGGGTTTCTCTCCAGTGGGCAAATCCTGTAGGAGCACACCACATCCAAACCAGCTAGGCTGAACCCCTCCAACSAAAATAAAATGGAGAAATGAAGATAAAATCAGATTTTTTGTGTCCTCTGAGAACAGGGTGGGTGTGTTGCAAGGGGGACAAACCACTTTTCCCCTTCAACACTGGAGCTGACTATTTAATTTATAGAATTTTCATCACTACCATTTTTTTTTTTGAACATGTTAAACATAATCTGTTGGAGGATAATAAATAAATAAATAATTACTGGGGTAATAAATAAATAAATAAAATCTGATGGTACAGCCCTGAGGTGAGGGACAGCTGAGTGAAATTAAATCTGAAATTTAATCAGAGTGAAATTAAATCTGAAATTTAACTGTCTGCACCGACTCCAAGAGTGGCAGGAAGGGGTTTGGGGTTTCTTGAATCCCATTTTTGCAGAGGGCATGTGAGGAGAGAACCACAGAGAATTCACAGGTCAAAATGTACATCCCTAAGTGCTGTCTTGAGACCCTTTCCAATCCTACCTCCTATAAAATTTTATCAAGTTCACTAA